ATCAGCGGGCGTTTGCTTTATAAACAGGCAGTGCGCATCTTTTGGGGCTGCAGCGAGCGTTAACCCTTGTTCCTGTGAAATCCCCCCTGCGGCAGAGGGGTCCTTGCCATGCGCTGGGCACCGTTTCGGGTCCTGCCGGCCAGCGAAGCATCCCAGGGCCTGACGCTCCTCCGCTTGCCGGCTGGGCGCTCTCCTTCGCCGAGCAGCCCCGGGAGCTCGGCCGGGAGAGGGCAGAGGGGCACGAAGTACGTTTCCGTGCTGTCTTGGTAAAATCACCGAACCCGCTGTGTCCGGCCGATGCATGCGGCAGGGGGGGATGCGTTTCCACGTGCCCGCTGCCGCACCGAGGTGCAGACCTGCTCTGGGGTGTTTCGCTGAGCCCGGCCCCGAGAGCTGCCGGAGACAGGAAGGAAAATGAACTATGCTCAAGATAGACACGTTTGTTGCTCTATATTTAGGAGTATAATAATTAAGGGTGGTTGTTTATCCTGACAAACATGGTAATTAATAGTCTGTGGCAGACGAGCAAATCCTTCCTGCACCTGGGAACTGTGAGTTGTCTCTGGGAAAGGCGAGGGCCTCATCAAAGAGCTGCTGCTGCTTGTGAGAAAAGCTGCTATTTAGGGAACATCTGGCTGTTTGCTTTGTCCCCTCCCCAGGCACGCGCGGCTGGGTGCTGGTGGCCTCTGAAGCGAGCGTGCTTTCGTGCCTGGCCCGTGCGTAAGGGCGCAGAGCAGGAGAGTCCCGCGGAGCAGAAGGCTGACGTACGGGGAGGGGGTGGGTGGGCAGCGCTGCCAGGGCGCTGCGGAGGGGAGAGCGGGGGTGCTGGTGGCACCCAGGGGTGCAATGGGGTGGGTACCAGTGCACAGAAGCTTGTTCATAAGTGCAGTAGGAAGCCTTGTGGGTTGGTGGCACAGGCTGGCTGGGCACCAGCGAGGCATCTCGCCGGGCAGGGAGGTGGCAGGCAGCCGGGATAAGGTTTTACCAGCCTCGGAAGGGAGGGCAAGAAGCTCTGAGGACTGGCAGCTTTGCGCTTTTCCCACTAGATGGGGATGGAGGCATTGCACAGAGCGCGCGGGAGCTCGCCCCGGTGCTGCCCGCAGAGAGCACCCGCGCTTGGCCGTCACCGCTGCGTCTTCTCCGGGTGGGCACCGTGCCAGCTGCCCGGCAATCCTGGGGGGGCTCAGGGCTCGGGGCTGACGGGGGGTCTCGCTTCTCTCGCAGATGCTGCAGGACTGCCCGAAGGCCCGCAGGGAGGTGGAGCTGCACTGGAGGGCATCGCAGTGCGCGCACATTGTCCGCATCATGGACGTCTACGAGAACCTCTACCAGGGGCGGAAGTGTCTGCTCATCGTCATGGAGTGGTGAGTCCCCGGCGCTGCCGCTGCGGGTGGGCTCTCCGCACCGGAGCACCTGCAGCGCCGTGGGGTGATGCCAAAAGAGGGGGTGAGCACCTTCCTGCACCGCTGCCGGGGTGCTGGGGACCCCAGGGAGGTGCTGTGCTGGGGGAAGCAGCCCGCGAGCCGTAGGGATGCAAGCCCTGGAAGAGGTGCTGCACCACTGGCGTTGGAGGGATGGCAGGAGCTGCGCTGGCTCTGAGTCATTCTGAAAACTCACTTGGCTGTTGGGAGGCTTCAGGCCTGTGGTTCTCACTACAGCTAGATCATAACCAAACTCGCTTTGGCCATTGAAAGGCGGGGTAGTCACCGAGTTCCGGGCACCCCAACAGCCTGCGGTGGGGTCTGCTGGGCAGCACGCAGCCGTGCCGAGCTGATGCATCTCTCAATGCCGTTGCACCTCTTGCAGCAGCATTTGAGTGACTCTGATTTGGGTAGATGTTTGATATAACCTGGGGAGGAGGAGGAATGAAGGGGAAAGTATTGAAACCACATCCCAACCGCAGCTGTGATTTGATGCAGCTTCCTTGCCAAAACCTCTCCTCTGGCAAGCTGGTAGGTTGCCTGGGGGGGCAGCGGGTGCAAGGAGCGCTGTGAGCAGCGCCAGGGCAGGCGGTACCGCAGCTGCCCGAGCGGCTCTTGTGTGGGAAGAGGCTTCTGAGAACCGTGCCGGGACGCTGGGCAGCCAGAGATGGCAAGGGTTTGTGCGGCGCATCTGCTTGTGTGGGAAGAAAGCAGTCTGAATGGTAGGAAACGAGTTCCCGGGGCAACAACAGCTCCCTGCAGCGTGTGTCTGCGATAGCTCCCCGCTGTCCGAGGGATGCTCTGGGTGTAATGCCCATCACAAGGCAGCGTTTGACTTTCAGCGTGAGCACGGTGTGTCTCCTCACGCGCTCTGTGCAGCGGTCGGCCCTGGCAGCTGTGCGCTATCTGTATTGCAGATGTGCTGCGAATGTGAAGGGCGCTGGCAGGAGATGCTATCTGCACCGGGAAAGCCAGAAACTGTTCCTGCTCGAGTTAGATAAGGCAGGGGCAGGAAGCGCCATTATCCCTGTTCTCATGGAGGATTATCCCTGATCTCACTCCTGATCTCCCTGGGAGCCGAGTTTTCCCTTAGGGTACCTAGGGAGCTTTTGGCTGGGGAGGGAGCCGTGCCAAGGTTTCCACGGTCCTTCTCCAACACCTGACGCGAGAGTCTGCTCTGCTGCAGCGGGGTTTGTCTCTGCCTCCCCCAGCCCATCGGGGAGCCCGTGTCAGGGCTGCTGACACCTTGCCTGTGCCGCGATCTTTGCTCAGCACTTCCGCACGGGGTTAGTGCGCCGGCAGGGTGGTTGGCTTGTGAGCTAAATGAGGCCAGGCGTGCCGGGAGCGCGCTCGCAACGTTCGAGCCACGTTTGCTGTCTTTACTGTAAATGTGTTTCTGTGGGCTGGTGGGGAGACCACGTCCGCTTGCACGCAGCGTCTCTGCCGCCAGCACGAGGCCTCTGCCCTGCTCATTTCTGGAAGGAGGAGGCTCTCAGACGCCCCGTGCCCAGAAGCAAGGGCTTGGATGGAGAAGGGGTTTGTTTCTTGCTGAGCTTGTGCAGCTCCTGGCTGAGCATCAGAGGTTTCGGTACTGCTCACACCGGTGTGTGACACGGACGCCGCAGCACCTAACGCTGCCTGCTTCTCTTCCAGCTTGGACGGCGGGGAGCTCTTCAGCCGAATTCAAGACAGGGGAGACCAGGCCTTCACGGAACGGGGTACAGAACCCCTGGGGACCTGGGGTTTTGTCTTTGGACCATTTCTTGCTGTTTATAGGAGTGTCGCTGGCCCAGCTCATTCCCTTAATCGCTCATTTGAATCCCCAGCAGGGTTTTGCTCTTGGGGAATGAGGAATGGGGGTGCAAGTGGCCCTGCTTTTCACGCTCACCTGAGAGAAGGGTTAGGGGCTGTTTTCTCAGCTGCCCCTGCGCATTGTCCATCCCACTCCGGCACAGGCAGGAGCTTCAGTGACCTTTGGAAACACCCACCCCTCTCCAAAAAATGGAGACTGGGTCCTGTGGTTCTCACAGATCTCATGAATCTCATCTCCTCTGCTCCTGTGGCCAAGAAGTGTCCACACAACCCAAACCCTCAGCCCGTTGCCCCCACATCCCAAAGGGACAGCTTTCCTGGCTGGTTTTCCTGGGGATTTGGGGTCCCTAGCAGTGCTGGGGGCTCGGTCAGGCCCCCCCAAGCAAGTCCCTCCCTGGGGCTTGTGCAGTTGGGTTCTTGGCATCAGCGGCTGGAGCCTGCCCCATCTCATCTCCTGGGAGTTTCTCTCCCATTTGCTGCAGGCTCCTGACCCGGGGGTGGGTGCTGGGTGGGGGGCTCCTGCTTGGAAAGGGGGACTTTGGGTAGAGGAAACCCCTTTGGCCTGAGCCGTGCTCTTTGACTCCTGGTCTGAAGAGTAACCCAGGGAGTGGTGCTCATTGTAACCTGCGTATAAAGGCTTCTGATGGGTTTTTTTGCTGCTTCAGAGGCTTCAGAGATAATGAAGAGCATCGGGGAAGCCATCCAGTACCTACACTCGATCAACATAGCGCACCGGGACGTGAAGGTACCGTGCTGCATGCTCGCCCGGCGGTGCCAAGCCCCGCTTGGCCCGTGACAATGCCGAGGCTGCTCCGGCCCTTCCGCTCACTTCTTCTTCCCTGTGTTTTCACAGCCAGAAAACCTCTTGTACACCTCCAAAAGGCCCAATGCTGTGCTAAAACTCACGGACTTTGGCTTTGCTAAAGAAACCACCACGCACAACTCCTTGGCCACTCCATGCTACACGCCGTACTACGTGGGTAAGTGGCTGGGGGGTCTGAGCTTGCAGGTTTGTGGCGCTGGAGGGCAGAGCCGGGGAGGTTTGGATGGTGCCA